ATCGAGCAGACCCGTGAAAATCCGGGGTGGAATAGGTCCTCAGCAACCCATGCTTGCCGTGAAAGGCGACTATGCTTGTCGTAAAAGGTGACTATGCTTGTCGTAAGGGGCGACTAACGGGATCGGGTGGTCAGGATCACTGACTTGGTTGATGCATATCATCGTATCCCATTTGCGTGGATCGATGCTCATGATGCCAATCACTGGATTGTCTGGTCCAGACTCGATTATTTACAGACCGCCGTCATATAGCTGGAATATTGCCGAGTGCGGCGTTAAACAATCAAACAATCGAGCATGCTATTTCTTCAAAGAGCGTTATACGTCGCTTGCTGAAAAAAAGTTGTTTGAGCAGGGTTACACCATTCAAGGCTTTAGTAACGCTTTCAAAACGTTAAATTGTAGACACGTGGAGGCTGGGATTTTGTATCGAGATTCACTATTTTTCAGTTACAGCTACGTAACGAGATATTTAATTTTTTAAAACCATGAGCCTGAATTTTTTAAAAGAACAACACCTTGCAACAATGACATTTTTGAGGCAGGCAATTTTAGTCTTTTATCTACAGTCTGAACTATAATGACTTTTTCCAGAATCTCCGGGAATAATTAATGTTTTTCGATACAATTCCACAATGTTCACAATATCAGTCACTGGATTGTCTGGTCCAGACTCGATTATTTTCAGGCCGCCGTCATTTATTGGTAGGTGAAATATTGCTCAGCGCGTTCTCAACCAACAGACAAACTGGCAGCCTTGTCACACGAAGGACACATCGTATGAAGGTGAGTGAAAGGGAGTGGCAGGGGCCACGCCCCCCCCCCCCCCCCCCCCCCCCCACCCCCCCCCCCCCAAAAAAAAAAGGATTCTCTCGTTCAAACCAAACGGGAATCGAATCCAGATCTTCGACTCGAATGGCGGAAGCTCCAATCACATCACCCGTCACCGGGTAAAGGAATGCTGTAGTGTTTTACGCTATCAAACATTTTGTTCTATTCATATGGTTCAGAATATTTTTTTGTTACATAAATAAATGCTTATATATATCAGATCAATGCATTTTCCCCTAATTGTAGACAAATAATGCCTACTTTCGCACACTTTACCACATAACGAATATCGCCATGCATGTAAATGCGTCCGCATGCGACAGTGATCGGTGCTGAACCGGGCATGACGATTGACCTTTGAACCTTCCTTTCAAAATGGCGTCTCAGTCTGGTGAGCCACTAACCGTTTTCTAATTTATATTAATTGCATTTACTTAGAAATGTATAATTTAGCTTATCTTATGTTGGGACGTAACATCCATGTCTCAAGTTGTCAGTGCTCAGTTTGTCAAAATCAGATTTAACTCACGATGTCCTTCATCAATTATGGAATTATGCGTAGTCCAATCAAACTCGCGTAACGAAATCGACATCCGGTTCGTAAACTGCCGTGAAGAGTTCGTTCTATTGCAGGATTTGCAAAACATGTGTTCCGACAACAGCTATTTTCCAAATGTTTCATGTTTCTTATCAAGGTGCTCACGTTTCATTACAATACAGATCTTGATTATCGAACAGATCGTCTTCACTGGGCGACGTCATTTTATCTGAAGCGAACGCAAGTGATAAGAGAAGTGGAATCTGATTGATCAATAGGAAGGACATAGAAGGGGAATAACTCGTAATAGCCACTGGTGGCGCTGCGATCGAGCCCAGAAATCCAGCCTTGTTCGGCAGGGGTGGAAACTGGACTTTTACAGTCAGTTAACTCCCTTGCCTCGGGAAGATGTGTCTCATTATGTTTCGTGGGATATAATAACAAGTTGAAAAGGATCCTTTGGATTGTTACCATATCTGGTTTATGTTTGTTTATGTTCCATAAAATTGATTTATTAATTGTTCATATTTTTCATATGGTAATTTGACCGTCTCTGGGGTCTATACAGCGTCTACCCGGAGAGCGGGCGGTTGGTGGTTCGATCCCCGGCCGTTAAGGATCTTTAAAAGACGGTACTTGTTGTTACCCTGCCTGGCGCTCGGCATTTATGAAACAAGGACTGGTCTACTCGAAGGAAGAGTAGGGTATCCATGTTGACTGCGGCATGGTATCTTAGTGGTGTAGAACTATAAAACCGGCATCGGATTAGTACAAGCAGCCAAACACACGCACTTCGTTATATATGTGCAATGATCTCGAACGCCACGTTAAACCCCATTTCACCTCACCTCACCTCATCTCACCCCATGTGGCAATTAAAACCTGTAGCTTACGATGGAGCTGGTGTGTTCATCCTTGCCCACCTCAGACAACACTGAGGGGGTCGATCGCCCCGATTATGTTTCTAGGTGTGTCAGCACCATACCCGTGGTCGTGGGTTTTACCGAAGCGTCTAAGACCTGCATCACTTCGGGCTTTCCTCCAACATTAAGCTGACACGCCGGGACTGGCATACTGTTAAAAGCGGCGTAAAACTCACTCACTCAACACTGGCTTTCGGAGAAGGTGAAGTGAAATGGGGGTTAACGTCGCGTCCAAGATTATTGCACTTATATAGCGACGTGCATGTACGTGTGTGTTTTTGTGTGGCTGCTTGTCCTAGTCCGGGCTGATGCCGATTTATAGTCCTAGCTCACTGAGATACCATGCCGCAGTTTAACATGAATACCCCACTCAGACACAGTATACTGACTCCGAGCCGACCAGTCCTTGTTTTAGCCCCTTAATGCTGAGCGCCAGACAGGGTTACAACAAGTACCACCTTTTAACGTCTTTTGGTATGACGCGGCCGGGGATCGAAGCCCGGACCTTCCGCTCTCCGGGCGGACGCTCTACCTCTAGACCACGGAGGCGGTCTCTTTCGGTGAAAGATTCATATTGGGAATATATAGAGCCAGGTTCTGCAACTTTACGAGCCAATGGTTTAATAAGCTACTCCCTTCTCTCCCCACTCAATCATCCGGTCGTCGCCCCAATCAATCAACCTACTAGAAGGACATTCCCTTTTCCGACCAAAGCAGGCTAAGATTAAAATATGTTTGAACATATTCGTAGAAATAAAAGCTTTGTAAGAAAACTGTTGATGACTATTTGTATTTTCTAGATTCAACCAAGTAACTTATAAACCACGACGACGACATTAGCTGAGCGATCTGCTGCAAAAATTCTCAGATCATTTGGGTGCATCTTCATCAAGGGGAAATCTGGTTCAGGTAAATCCAGGAATGGATTAAAACTTCTTGATGATATATCTAGAGAGGAGGAGGTTACTCCAATTATACTGACGTCATATAAAGAATGGAATCTGATTCCACAAACAAAGAGAACATATGCTACTCATGGCAGCCAGAAATACATCGTGATGATTGACAACATTTTTGGATGCAGCAACTTTGTGCAGACCAGAGAGGAAGTGAGTGAGTGAGTGAGTTTGATTTTACGCCGTTTTTAGCAATATTCCAGCAATATCGCGGCGGGGGGACACCAGAAATGGGCTTCACACATTGTATCCATGTCGGGAATCGAACCCGGGTCTTCGGCGTGACGAGCGAACGCTTTAACCTATAGGCTACCCGACCGCCGCCCCCCCCCCCCCCCCCCACACACACACACACACACACAGAGGAAGAGTGGAGCAGGTTGTTTGACATCCAGACCAGAAATCAGTGTTCAGTGTGAGAGTCGCATCAAGATATACACTCTATTTAAGAACATCCAGTATTTGTCGCTTGACTCAGTTCAGTATTCCCTGCGGAAATATGAATATGCGGAACTCACAATTTTCAGAGAAACTAATAAATGAAATAACAGAAGTGGATGTATCTCTTGTCTTCCCACAATGCTGTTCATTCTATGCCAGAAGCAAGCAAGCAAAGGCTAAAGGGGTTAAGTTTTTCTGCAAACCGTATGATTACATGACAGAGGAAATAACAATCCTTAAAGAAAGTGACCCTCTGGGGTATCTTGTTCTCCTTCTCGTGCTGGTGAATAATGACTATTTAGATATAAACCTGTTGAAGCAGGTAAAGACAGCTCAAACTGTCAGAAAGGTTATTGATACCCTAACACCTTTATGTGATCTTGACTCAAGACCAAGTTAACATGCTATTTGGACAAAGGCTGAATCAATATGTGATGTATATTTGCAGAAAAAAAGACCACTTTCTGAGGTGTTATCACCAATCAGTATTTGATGCTGTTTTCATATCTGTGGCCTCGATATCGCCGGCGATATGCCTTGAAATATGCCCAGTGGAACTGCTTCTGGAACTAGTGAGAACAGAGGTACATTAGCCAAGGACAAATGAAGTGGTGGTCGTTGTGCCGAGGGGCGATTATAGTATTCTAGCTCACAGAATCACCGAGCTACTATTGTCTGAAGACTCTTTTTTTGTTCTTGAACACCCGGCTCTACATGATGAAGAATTTGCAGATGTGATGTTCAAAACATGGAAAGATGGAGGAAGACTGAGTGAAATATTGACATTTGCAATGCCATGCAACTTGAAAATTAGAATTGGAAAACCAGTAGAAGATTCGCCGTTCCAAAGCCTGTTTCACTGCTCATACATCCTTTCTTGTATGGTTATCAAACACATAAGGACACTCTCAGAGATGTTAATAGCCACCCTTGATGTAAATGATAACGATCTGATCAGCTACATAATTGCCATGGGATAATTCCCGATGTTAAGAGCACGCGAGCTCTCTGTGGGTCCCCCTATTTACCAGAAGCTACGGACCACATCAGCCAAAAGGTTCTATCATTTGGTGTACAGTGGGATAGACTGAAAAATACGTACATACTGTTTTGTCTTGCTGTGCTCACGGAAAAGTTACGCTTTCTTGAAATGTTCCATGAACATGAAATACAAAATGAGGATATGGATACATTAAGGGATTGCTTAGAAGGTCTTTGCAGCGTGTTATCGAGGTCAGATAAACAAGCATATAGCAGTCCTGGAAATATAGTAATAGACTATGCCGTTGTGAAAATCCTTGCAACAGGGTGTATACGGAACCTGGGGCATCTGATATGGTTCGCCATAGCTCATCCTACCTCAGTTATCCTGAAACTTCTTCTTAAGATGGACGTGGTATACAATAACGAGATATATGGAACGAACCTGTTACATCAGGCAGCACTCCATGGTCGATCTGATTATGTTGCTAAGATACTTGAGCTGGGCGCTGATGTCAACATGACAACAAAATCAGAAAAATATAATGTTCTCCATTTAGCAGCAATGTCCAAAAGTGACAGTGAAATGAAAACAAATGTGTTTTGCTCATATATAAGATCCGTTTCTATCCAAGGCCAAGAGGTGGAGGATAGAGAATACGTACCTGACACCTTAAAGCAGTTTGTAAACAGGCAAACTTGGAACGATTGTGTGGCAATTCATGTTGCTTGCAGGACCAACAATGCTGGAGTGATTAGGTTACTGTTTGACGCTGGTGGAGATGTTAACGCTCGTGATTATCTTGGGGAAACGCCACTTCATGTAGCTGTAAAGAGCTCATCGGTAGAGTGTCTTAACATTCTGCTTGAAGCAAATGCTATGGTGGATGTGGTGAATGCAGATAAACAAACACCACTCATATGCTCAAATCAAACACACACTGACATAGTGAAAGCTCTGGTTGAAGCTGGGAGTGACATAAATCATGCAGATCGCAATGGAAGAACAGGTATGCATATAGCTGCGAAATGTGGAGATGTAGACACTGTCAGGTACCTGTGTAAGAAGGGAGTTGATATTAACGCCACAGACATACATGGACAGACAAGCTTGATGCTGGTTGCCCTGTATGAGGAAGTAGACATATTGAAGCTGTTGTGTGAGATGGGAGCACGACTTGACATCAGAGACAATGCTGGCGAGACGGTGCTACATAAAACTGTCTGGACCGAGGTAGATGCTGCTGAGAAACTTTTATATCTACTTGAGGGCCAGAATGTTCCTATTGATGCTCTGGATAACAGAGGAAGGACAGCTTTGTTTCCTGCAGTAGAATTTGGCGATGTTGAACTCTTGTGTCAAAAGGGATTTGACTTACAGACGCGTGATATCCATGGTACTTCTCTGTTACATGCAAGTTGCAAACCAGGACTCGGAGATGTCAACAACAGAAGGATGGTTACAGCTTGTTGAGACATCACCAAGAGGAAAGTCCGCCATGTTGCTGTACGAAAACAGGCACTTGATGCTGTGCACTTACTCCTAAAAGATGGAGTTAATGTAAATGCGATGGATGAATATGGCGGGACGCCACTGCATTATGCGACTGAATTCAGACAAAGCGATATAATGAAATTACTCTTAGAAAACGGCGCAAATCCTTGTTCCCGGGATACAAAGGGAATGACGCCACTTCATAGATATGCAGAGAGAGAAGACAGAATTGATTCTAAATCATTCCTAGGCGCATCTGTACAAACATCTAACATGGATCAAATGATGGCAGAACCAGATTCAGTTTCAGAGTTGACTGGAGACTGTATATCACTGCTTTTGGATTATGGTGCGGAGTTGAACATTCAAGATGACGAGGGCAGAACTGTGTTGCATGTGACTGCTGAAGAAAAGAGATCTGGAAATGCGAAGCGTTTTCTAGAGAAAGGAGCTGATCCTTGTGCTGTGGATCTGCAGGGTAGGACCCCTATTCACATCGCAGCTGGAAATGGCGGAATTGACTGTGTACAGCTGTTCTTGGAAAAGGATGCGGACCTTAATTCCGTTGATAAACAAGGATGGACACCACTCCACTATGCAGTCAAACGAGCATTCCTTGATGTATATGATCTTCTAGTGGATAAAGGTGCTGATCAATACGCGCATGATAATAGAGGCAGAGCGCCTCGGAGAATAGCAATTGATTATGGTAAACAGACATACTCTGACAAAAAATCAGACAGCTCGACTGAGACAAGTGTAGAAGCCACTTTGTATGCATCGTTAGATTTCCCTTCAGGTTCAGCATCGACAGAGTGTGGATCCCTCGATAACAGAATTGAGGAGAGAGACAGTGTCAGTATGTCTACATCAGATGACCCGGAGGAGGAAGGGAAAACAATAATATACCTTCGCACAAGAAATGGAGGACAATGTTACAATACCACATGACATTGTGTGTGTGCTAGATCAGCAATCATTGTAAAATGTAAGAAGGTCGTAATGCATTCTGATTCTGAAAGAATCGTTGTCAAATAGGATTGGATCCCGGAATTCTTTCCGACTTTTCATTGTGTATGAACACTTTTTGTTTTAAATCTCGATCCTGATTTTGACAAAAAGCCACCATTCTGCTTGGCGAAACGGATACCACATTAATTAAATATCAAGTTTGGTCAATATTTGTCAGAACAAACAAACAGATTTGTTTCTAATTTTGTTAAGCAGGTCAGCCGAGGTTATGAGGGAGCATATGACATCATACATCATCATGACACCATAGCATTCAGGCCTTTCACACCTGTAAGAGTTCAAGTAGAAAAAGAGAGTGAGAGTGCTACTGGGAACTGCTGAGATTTTATTTACAATGTTGATAAATGTTATGTGTTGAATACTTGATGCCCGGATATTTATATGAGAATGCATAACGCAAAATGTGTGGTTTGTAGTTTTGTCAGAATACAACATAAGTATTTTCAGTTTCAGCATATATTGTTTTGTTTTATTTTAGTAAATACATTTAACTTTTATTGTATGGCTTATTATAACGGTCGAGGATTCGAACTCTTGTCGACGAGGGTCACAATTTGCATCAAATATTTATTCGGCTGATAACTAGTCAAGGTATATAGTCCGGTCGGGTCAGCTTCGATCTGTAGTTTGCATTGTTGTTATGGGTATCCATCTTGCGGACACCTTGCGTCACTTATGATGGACTGTGCTGAACCAGAATTGATCCTAATAGCGTTATATGCTAAATTCTAACATATTGCTCAGCTATATCCATGCGGTAGATGGTCTCGCTTGAAGTTGACCATACCTAGGATCAGCTTCTGTGCTGCTTCTGCCTCACATAAACCCAGCAGCCCATCTCTGAACAGTTGAATATGAGTGAGTGAGTTGGGTTTAACGCCGCTTTTACCATTATTCCAGTTATATTGCGGCGTGAAAGCCCGAAGTGATGCAGGTCTCAGACATTTACCACTTCGGTGAAACCCACGAGCACGGATATGGTGCTGACAAACCTAGAAACATAATCGGGGCGAACCGGGATTCGAACCCACAATCATAGGTTTCTGGCGTGCCCAAGGAACGCAACACTGCACAGCGAATCGCGGCGCCTCAGACGACTGGGCCACCCGTGCCCCCAATCTGTCCTAGATGGGACATCTGGAAATAAATGTGAGTACTCATGAATTAACTCTTCCAGTTCTATCTTCTGTTCACTCGTCACATGTGATAACCTAGCATCCAGATTGTTGAAGACATCTGAGTTATTAAGCTTCACATCAGGTTCTCCCTTGCCCTTAGTACAAGAGTCTCTAGTTAATGTCTCCTCCACAGTTATCTCTACTGTGTCTATGGTGCTTACACTCACAGTCTGTGACTCATGACTAAATCACGTGATTGAACTACTGGAATGACATGCATCAACCAAATAAACAAGCCTGACCACCCGATGCCGTTAGTCGCCTCTTATGTGTATGATAATAATGAACGAATTAGGAACACATTACAACAGGTAGTGAAGTAGGACAATAGACCTTGAAGGACAACAGGGGTAAAATGGGAAATGTCAAAGGTTTTTTTTAGCAATAGTGCTTAATACCCTTAGGATATGTTAAACCTTCATTCACTCGACGAGGCGTATGAGTCTCCCAACGGCGACTTGAGGGAGTCTGTCCCAGTCCTTTTGCAACGTGGTCGGGGGCCTATGACGCTGACACACACGTTTCCCTATTATGCCCCAGACGTGTTCAATAGGGGAAAGGTATGGGCTAATTGCTGGCCATGGTATTCTATGAATGCTCCTGGAGGTGAACATTGACGACGCTTCATGCACGGTGAGCACAGGCGTTGAAACGTTGAACGCCTTGCAAAAGATCCAACAAAGGGTTGTCCCGATAGTACTGCTAGTGATGCTTCCGTGCACAATATGGAGTGGGGTTCGCTCTGTCATGGTGATGCCATCCCACACCATAACCGATCCACCGCCTAAACTGTCTCAGGTTTACGTTGGCTTGACGTTTATTTCGACGTCGCCAGACCACGCCTATCAAAGAAGTGCAAAGTGAATCGGGACTGGGACCCGGGACTCGGGACTCGGGACTCGGGACTCGGGACCCGGGACTTGGGACCCGGGACTGGGACCCGGGACTCGGGACTTGGGACCCGGGACTGGGGAACCGGGACTCGGGACTCGGGTCCCGGGACTGGGGACTGGGGATTTGGGTCCCGGGACTGGGGACTGGGGACTCGGGACTCGGGACTCAGGACTCAGGACCAGCGACGATTACCACAGTTCCGACGCTATGTACACCAATGACGTCTGTTGGCAATATGACATGGAGATGCATGAAGACGATTTCTTATCGTCTGACCCGTAACTCGTACTCCCGGAGCCGGGTCAGCAATTTGATTCTCCGCTTAAGCTCGATTTTGTAGAGCCTGGTTTTGGATCAATCTTTCCTGTACTCATGTCGTTGACCTGGGACGCCTTGAACGGGGTCGATCGTCAACATTTTGGGTTTATTGCTACCTAATGACACTGTGAAACATTGAACATATTGACCACTGCACGCTGATTTCTGCCAGTTTCCATCATGTCAATAGCCGTCATCGTTAGTCCTGTGTGTTAAGTAGAATCAATAAGATTGACAGCAACAATGACCACAGTTATTAATCGACCTTCCTTGAAAGTGACAAAATCAGGAATGACACCATACGTACGTGTGTGTTGCTACTATATGAGGCACGTGTAAACTATAGGATGTGTTTTGGTGTTAAGCTTCACAGACATAAGCGTTCTTGGCTAGGATGTTTGTCGTCAACATTTAATTATTTTTGTTCTAATACTTGGTGTTAATATTTATATTTTATTATTCCCTACTTTTTATATAGATTATGATATAGATAGAAAATGTCTTATTTCGGCGGTGTTGATGGTGAAATGCCTAATTTTGTAGGAAAACTGGATCATATCATTAAGCAAGAAAACATGCAACTTTATGGATAACTTCTGGTTTATTGTACTCAGCAATGTTTAATGTAGATTCTAACACCGTTATCAATGTGTCCTTACTGGATATCTGGCTTCATTACCCTGTGTGCTATTTCTTCTTCTTACGGTACATCTGGTTTCATTACCCTGTGTGCTATTTGATCTTCTAACGGTACATCTGGCTTCATTACCCTGTGTGCTATTTCTTCTTCTTACGGTACATCTGGTTTCATTACCCTGTGTGCTATTTGTTCTTCTAACGGTACATCTGGCTTCATTACCCTGTGTCCTATTTGTTCTTCTTACGGTACATCTGGTTTCATTACCCTGTGTGCTATTTGTTCTTCTAACGGTACATCTGGCTTCATTACCCTGTGTGCTGTTTGTTCTTTTTACGGTACATCTGGCTTCATTACCCTGTGTACTATTTGTTCTTCTTACGGTACATCTGCTTCATTAGTATGTGTGCTATTTGTTCTTCTTACGGTACATCTGCTTCATTACCCTGTGTGCTATTTGTTCTTCTTACGGTACATGTGGCTTCATTACCCTGTGTGCTATTTGTTCTTCTAACGGTACATCTGGCTTCATTACCCTGTGTGCTGTTTGTTCTTTTTACGGTACATCTGGCTTCATTACCCTGTGTACTATTTGTTCTTCTTACAGTACATGTGGCTTCATTACCCTGTGTGCTATTTGTTCTTCTTACGGTACATCTTGCTTCATTACCCTGTGTGCTATTTGTTCTTCTTACGGTACATGTGGCTTCATTACCCTGTGTGCTATTTGTTCTTCTTACAGTACATGTGGCTTCATTACCCTGTGTGCTATTTGTTCTTCTTACGGTACACCTGGCTTCATTACCCTGTGTGCTATTTGTTCTTCTAAAGGTACACCTGGCTTCATTACCCCGTGTGCTATTTGTTCTTCTAAAGGTACATCTGGCTTCATTACCATGTGTGCTATTTGTTCTTCTAAA